TGTATATTTTAATTTTATTTTGTGTTATTTTTATATTTTCTTCCGTTTCTCTTGTATATTTTTAAAATTTTTGTTCTAAATTTTGATTTAAATATTTATATTCTATACATGGAACGTATCTGTTCCATTTTCGTTTTTTTAGACCTGAGGATGGCCTGTTAATCAGGTTGAAAGCGTTTGTGTTTAAAATATATAATTCTCAGCAAAATTAAGGTGTTCTAATATATATGTTTACTTGCTGAGCACTTTTAATGTTATTGTTGAACAAGAGAAATGTTTGTATAAATTGCAAGAATATCATGCTAATTTTGACATCTTCTCTGTTCTGTCATGATTTTGTAACCATATTAAAAATCACTAGAAACACCCGACAACAAAGGTCACTAATTAGTGGCGATATCACACTTTCTTTTTATTCCTTTTTCTACTTTGTTAATTACTTTAACTTTTCTCTCCAAAGTTAAAAAATTATTGTATGATCCACACTTCAGACATGATACAATACAGTAAGAATAGGCAACTAAACTACAGTACACTGCTATTCCAAAGTACTATACAGTACACTAAACGATTAGAGATAATCACTAGTATCTAAAACCTAGCTTGTGACATAATGTAGTGAAAATTTTGAACATTCTGGAAATTTCAAACAAATTAAATATTTAACAACGATAGGTCTCCTACTGTATTTTATCCATTATACTGTATATAGCTTGTCAATAAACCAAAATTAGGACATAAAAGCAGAAAGGATGACTGCAAGACAAGCAAGAATTCCAAGAAAACAGATATTATGCAATGGTAAAATTCTAGTAATTTTCAAAATATAAAGTTACTCCTGCTTCAAATTATCTAAAAATTAGAAAAAATTTTGAATTAAACAGCTAATTTTAACATTGCATGTAATAGGATACTGAAAGGAAATTTTTAAAATATGAAACATTCAAAAATTTGAATTAACTAAATTCAAATTAAACAAGTTCAACTGTACTGCTTTTTTTTTCTTTTGAAAGACATGTACAGTTGAACTCTTACAGTTGATCCTTGACCTTCAGCTTTCTACTTTTGTGAAAAATGAGTATAGGAAAAATTTTGACCTTAACTGGAATTGAGGTTAAATCTAATAACTAATTTATGAAGATTTAATAATAATAGTGTTTATGGAAGATTAGAAAACCAGGAAACGACTTATCCACTTACTAGTATTGTATATTTTCTCCTACTATCATTAATTTTGATATACAGTTCAATATAATTACATTTAAACAAAACAAAATTCAATGACATCGCACGAATCTTACCAGAAGTAACGATATCGGTCTTTGGTTCTTCTTCTTCAATGTTACTATTTCCATTCATGTTCTGCACCACTACTAGATGGTCTGGTAAGCTAGTTGGAGCTGCCATTGAAATAAGTCCTCCAGGTATTGATGCATTCTGATTTACCATTGCGGCAGTCCCCATAGTTAGCAGATTACCTAAAGTACTTGGCTGTGAACATGATACCAGACTATCCTGAAATAAAATATTTACAGAGATTGAGGAATTCCAATTATTAACAACATACAAATTTTATATGAGTAATTATTCTGTACACTTACCATTACATTTGGTTTAGTCCTCAAACAAATATATTTTAATATTATCTGTGTTTAAAAAATTAAACACAATCATCATTTTTAAGCAAATCTCTGGTATTTTCTTCTCCTTATTCATTATTGACAATTTAAACCTGCAATAAAATAATAGCAATATCTTGATTCTGAAATATAAAAGTCTGATGAATGAATCATAAATTTCACAGAACAAATGAAAAATAACTGTGAAAACAAATATGATTTCTATAAAATTCGTATTGTTTTATTGATTCCACACTCAAGCTAATATTACTTTTGAATAATATACAGTACTTACAAACTAACAAAACTATAAATAGGAATGTAGCAAGTACAAACACCAGTATCAAATCTGTGGGCGAGTACTCTGACTCCTGCAACAACTCCTACCATTTGCTGACTATCAAACATTCAAGTATTTTAAGTTTTGGTTGAAATAAAAAGATGTTAATTTTCTCAAAATTATCAATTTTTGGACATCATATAAGTTTAAGTACATAAACATTGCTTGTTTTTTCAATACCTACCCATTCCCCAGATCTGAAAGCGATCCCGACTTAAAATTGCAATTTTTTTTAATAAAATGCAGAAGTGGAGCTTTACATTGGATACTTTTTTAGTACCTCAGAATAACCATGTGTTTGAGCTCTTCTTGTGAGAGCCAAACATATCTAAAAGGCAGATTACTTTCAGACTTTAATTAAATTAATCAATAATTAGCTTTATTAGAAAGCCTGGAAATAATTCTTCTTTCTGATATATTTGGTTATTAAAACCAGTCTATGTTTCTAAGATTAGAAATAAAGATACAAGTAAATCAATACACTATTTTTTCTGAAAATCTAGATTTTGATATTTATTATTATGTTCTTTTCAGTTTTCTCATCTTCAAAATACAAAAAAAATTTGATAATACAGTTGTCCCTTGATAATCCGACAGGTATGGGACCAAAGGTGTGTCAGATTACCAAAAGTGTCCGGATTACCGAAAATAATTACATATTTCGCATTGTTTTGCTAGCAGTAACTTACAATATTCTCTACTCCAACTGTTCGAACAGAACTGCTCACATAAAACACACGAAATGTGTGTCATCGAGTAAGAATTGGATGGGGAGATTCACATCGCGACATGCTTCTGTGCAAGCAGACACGTAACGGGGACGGGTACCTTGACGGGAGGTGCATCGGACTACTGAGCATGTCGGATTAAAAAACATCGGACTATAGAGGGACAACTGTAATAACAATCTTTTTACAAAATTTAAAAAGATCATTAGGTTTAAAATAAAAACTTAATCTCAAAATTCTTTAAACAAAACCATTTAAACTCCAGCTTTTATTTGTTATTTATTTATTGATTTTTCACTTGGAATTCAAGTTCTCTTTTACAGATTAACTTAACATATTAAAAGATTAAATTTTCTTTTAAAATTATTTATTTTGGGATTTGTGCCTCTTAAGTTATGGCCACATCTATATAACAATACTGTGGACAGTGTTTTGTTATCTCATTACAAATCATTTTTGTAAACAGAGAGAATGATTTTGATATACAGTGCATTGACATGAAAATCTCAATACATCCATTGGTTTCAGTACAGTATGTTTGTTTTGTACCATATACACCATGACAGCTTTTCACACAACATTTCAACAAACCACTTTATCTAGTAAACATGGATGCAGCTCCAGTTGCTTAAAGTGTGTCCACACCTAAGGAATGCTTCATACTACATCATTCTTTGATACCCTTTGTTGAAAAACTGATAAGCAATGCATCAGTGGCAAACTATTTCACAAACCTTCAAACTGACATCAAATGTTGCTGAGTCCTTTCCCACATGCAAACTGGTTTATCAAGTGGTAACAGCATGATGTTTGTTATGTTGTTACATAGATGTAGACAGCTTAAGGATAAATTTTGGCAGTCTTAAAAGTACTTGGGATAAAATATATTTAAAATAATCAAACACCTTAGTATTTCCAGCAATGAAGTATTTAATAAAATAAAAAATAAAACGTTTTCGACTATATTTAATAGTCTTCCTCAGTTAAGCCACTTTAAAATGAAAATAAACATAAAATAGAACACAAGCAATACAACAGTTTAAAAAATTGAAATTAATTACAACAAAATCAAATAAAACGTAAAAAACAAAATTAAATTACAAATAAAATATTACGAAATTAATTGTGGTAGAGAATTTTAAAAAAAAATTAATTGTCGTGATAAAAAGATTTCCATGCGCAGGATAGACTTTCTGTGTCTCTATGGTTGATGCATCCTTTGTTAATATGTGCCTTGTAAATTTCAAGTTTTTCAATATGTTTAAGGACTTGTTTGTTGATGGCGGTCCTACTTATGGATGCTTTGTCCCAATGTACCTGTACATTAATATCTTGATGTTTAGCAAAGGCTGCAAGGATGTTTTTAGTAATAGAATACTTATGTTCTTTAATCCTCTGTTTTAAAAGTCTCATAGTGGCACCAACGTAAACGAGATCTGAATTAAAACGGCGGTCACTTAAAGGAATAGAATAAACTCCTGTACTATTGTTACGGTTTCCTTTCTTCTTATCATTTCGTACAATTCTATAAATCGTCGGATTACGACAATAAATAACTCTTAAATTATTCTTGTGAGATACTTTTTTAATCATCGATTGTAGGAAATATATATAGTTGAGAACTACTTTTCATCCTTGGTTCTTAGTTGTAGGTTGCTTATTTGTTTGATTACGAAATTTATCAATAAGAGCGTTAATTTCACTTATTCAATATCCCTGTTGTACAGCTATTGTACGTATGTAATTTAATTCTCTATGTGTGCCAACCATACTCGTACAGTGGGTATAGGCCCGCTTTATCCATGATCGAAAGGCTGCATTCTTAAAATTCTGAGGATCAAAGGAATTCTTCAGTATAATAATAGGTAGATAGCTAGGCTTTCGATAAATATCTGTCCATATTTCCCCATATTTACAAGTAATGGACAGAACCAGAAAATTTACGTTAATGTCACTTTTCTGTTCCAATGATAAAGTCACACCATATGGGTTGTTATTCATTTTGTTAAGGAAATATTGAGTGCTATTACTATTCCTCCAAATGATGAAAACATCATCAATATATCTTGCATATACAAGTATGTCATTTATAAAGATGGGCAGCACATTACTTTCTAATCATCGTAATACTAGTTCACATAATAACGGAGATATCGGACTCCCCATTGGAACCCCTCTTTCGTGTAAATGTGTTCCCTTCAAATACAAAAAACGAAGTATAACAAATTAGGTGTGCAAGCTCTAAAATGTGTTGGTGATACTTCGTTGGATTATTAATGTTAGTAATAAGGAAGCCTCTCAGCTCGCAAAAGCAAGGCGGTAATTTTATAGATGGAAATAAAGATTTAAAATCCATCATGGTCATATCTTCGTTATCTTCAAGGTTAATGTTTCTGAGCTTGTCCACCAGTTGAACAGAGTTATTAATAGCATATGGGTAATCTTGAATCCTTGGTCAAATAAATTTAACCAGTTGTTTCTCAATTGCAAAAGTAGGGGATCCGCATTTCTCTATAACAGGACTTATAAGGCAGTCAGGCTTATGAGTTTTGCCAAAAGCAAAGATTCTCGGTGTACTTGGTGCTTGTACTACAGAGTTATGCATTCATAAATAGTGAGCTAAAGGGGTTGAAGAGAATAAAATGTGTGGTAAATATTAATTTATTAAGATTTTTAATAACTTTGTAAGAACTTGGAATGCTTCTGAATTGTGTTATTTATTTCTTTCCTTTCCCCTTTTTAATTAAAAAAAAACTGATACTCAAATTCAGTAAAAAAATTATTTTGTCAAAATTTTTGTTTGATACTCTGAAGACAACACCCAAAAATATTAAGCATTGAAATCTATATTTCTCAAAAACTTTTGATTTACTTAAAACATGTTAGAAGGATTCAAGATACAATAAATAGTACTTAACTGCTACTACATAGAATTGAAGATTATTATTTATGATTGAACAGAAGTGAGAAAAATCATTTGGCTATCAAAGAAAAACTATAAAAACTGAATAGATGGAATGTATTAAAAAGTTGATGTCATGCACACATACAGTAGTGAATAATCACTTTTATAGCTTAAAGTTTCTTATGTAATTCAAATTAATGTGTTTTTTATTATTTCTTTTCTGTCATAGCAATTGAAATTGCCATTAGTTTATATATTTTTAAATAGAATGACATTGTTATTCTATTTAAAAATTCATTAGTATTCCTAATACAAAATATATGGTTTTTGTATAAATATAGTTTTTTTGGTAAAGTTTTGTGTGATCACGACACTTAAAAAAAGCTATATTTTTGAAAGCGAAAAACATTTCAAACTGAAATTTGATTACAAAGTGCTGTATGTTTTGATATTTGCATCCATATCTACATTGTTTGACTCATATGCCCAGATGGCACCACAATACCCAGCATATGGTGAAAAGTTTTGTAACATTCTTTTTGATTGGTGGCTAGTATCAATTACAACTGTATTCACAATTGCTGAGTGCGTGTTTATTGTTCAAAGTTATTGGAATTCTGGCACTTTCGAAGAGTGTCAAAAAAAATATTAAGAAAAAATTTTCCAGTTGGGAATCACCTACGAAACCCACAATTTCAAACCTTGTGAAGAAACTAGTCAACAGGAAGCCTTGTTAATAAGCATGCAGGAGGGAAACCCACAATGTCAAAAAACACTGTATAGTATGTAAAACAAGGTTTATTAGTCTCCAAAGAAATTGTTACAAATTGTTGCAAGAAACAGGACTGTCATATTCCAACTGATAGAAGACTGTAAAAATGAATAAACTGAAGCCATGTTGTATTACAGTTGTTCATTGACATGCCAAAACAAATGAATTAATGCCATTGGTTTAAGGAATTTGTCAGGTTCCCCTTTTCAGTCTATGTGACTCACAGAATACACAAATTTAGTTGAGTAAGAGAATCCGCATGTTATTCATGAGGACAGAATGCATCCCACAATGATTGGCATATAATCTGTCATTTCACAAAACTGAATAACCAGTCCCATTTTCTTTGAACAGACTGTCAACATAGAAGTGTATCTCAATATCTTCACGCAATTTGTGAATCGATTTGATGATATTTAATGATATTTAATTGCAGAATGGCTTCTTCCGACAAGATGGTGCAACTTGTCACACTTCTAATGCCAGTATGGCTGAGATTCCGATTACTTCTTATGGAATCATCTGAAAGATGCTATAAACAGAAATAAGCCTAAGATGATTCAGCAGCAGATCATCAATACACAGGAAATTGAAGCAATAAATACTAACATGCTAAATCTTACATTTGACAATTTACAGGAACAAGTTGATCTCTGTTTGGATGCCAGCAGAAGACATTTTCAGTATATTCTGTAAAATCGATATGGTTGTGAAGAGGTAAAGCACTTATGTATTTAAATTTCAGCTTGAAATGTTTTTCCTTTCAAAATTACAATGCTTTTTCTTGGGTAAAGTCCCTTATGAATCATCCTGTACATCATAATTTGAAAGTATTTGAATGTTGTTTTCCTAGTTTTTGTAATTTTTTTCCTCCATTAAAAATTATTCATTATTTCATTTTACTTATACAATTATAAGCACAATAAACAATAGACACATAATCACTTAGGGATTTTCCCTATAATGATGATAATTTTGACCAATTACATTAAGCAGGATAAGTAAATAAGACTAGAATTAGTAGAAATCCTGGTTTTACTGACTCCAATGATAAAAGGACATATTAAAATAATTTTTAAAAAATTTATTAGTTGAAGATTTCTTAATTATAATTATTATGAACTAATAGTAAGTCATCTAGTGTTATTTGCTAGTAGGGTTACTGTTTTTATCAACAACTCATGTATAGTTGAAGTAAGAAATGACAATAATTTAAATTACTGTACTGCAAGCAAAAAATTATTAAAAATTCATTATCATTTAATGTTTCAAACACTGGTTAAAACTGATGATGATATCTAATGATTATACATTATATTGAGACTGATAATGGAAAACACAGCTTAAAAATGCCTGTTTACTTGAAGATAACTATAATGGTGACTATAACTGACATTTTAATTACAGCAAGTAAAGTTCAATAATTATATTTTAACTTGTATATTTTGGAACGTGTTAATGGGCCAAAAGCCAGTTTATGATTCATTTGATTTATTAAAAGTGACTAAATCATAAAAGCAACATGTCGCAATTCCAAACTTACTTTAGCCATTCTCAAAATAATGTTAAAATATATTTCTTAATTGACTTTTAGACCACTCTGAATTTTATTATATCTAATCACACCATTGATAAATAGATATCTGATGACACGCAAACAATACTTAGTAAAAAATTAGTAAATGCTAAAATGTTTATTACAGTTCTCTTGTTTAGCAGAATATTTTATGCTATTTGTATGCATTTGTAGCTAGAACTATTTTAAGATGTCCAAGACATAACCTTTCTCACTTGTTTCTAGCCGTTTATATACGAGTACGAACGTTTTTGGCCTTCTTAGTAGGCCTTCTTCAGGTACACTGTGGTCTGTTAGAGCGTCAGTTGGTAGAAATTTAAACGGTGTAAATGTTTACATACGTATCGTCTTACCAGTGACAACATTGTTGATGATATGGTATAGACAATACAGAGGGCGTTAAATTTTTCCTTTGGTAAAAAGGAAGGTGTGCAGATAGTTCATGATGGGATAATTGCTAAAGTTGGGAAATAAAATTGGAAAATAAACGTGCTATGTAAAGAAAATGCACTATCATGATAGGGGGTTAATGGGGAGTGATTTCATAGTTGATAATGGAGCATAGACGATGCTGACGTTGTTAAATAGCTAATGATATAATAAGAAAAAGCGTGTGAACGACCATAGATGGGAAAGATGCTACACTTGGAAAGCAGAATTGGAAAATAAACGCAACAAGTAAAAAAGCGCTAACAGGGGTGCACGTGGTGAGGGTGGGTTGGTCTATTTAGTTTAAGGGGTTATCAAAGAGTGATTTCCATGCGGTGGAGAGTGAGTCTGCATCTCTGCTGTTGATACAACTGTCTTTGAGGGATTGCTTAAATATTTCAATGGTTTCAACTGTTCTAAGCTTACTGTTGTTGTGCATAGGAATAATAATCTTTGCCTCTTCCCATTTGGTCGTTATACTAGGTTTGCTTGCAAACTGGGCTAGTAGAAGTGAACTTTTTGTTGTATGCATCATATTTGTGTTCAGCTATCCTCCTTTTAAGTGATCTATTGGTTGAACCAATGTATGTTAGTTTTTTGCACGGGTTAGATCTGCTGTCCTCTAGTGGGACCGTGTAGACTCCTGGTCTCCTGGCTTCGCTGCATTTGTCCTTAGTATTAGCCAGAAGTTTATAAATCGTAGGGTTGTGTCTGTATGCAAGAGTAGCATTGACCTTTTTTGCTATGAATTTAAAAGGCTTGGCTCATTCTAGGGTCAAAATTGACGATAATGCACTTTGTTGCTTTAGAGGTTTGGAATTGACATCTTCAGCTGTTAGGCATCTATGAATTTTTCATAGCACAAGCAATCACTGATTGCATTTTTTATTTTTAAAATATAAAAATTGTAACATAATTTCAAGAAGAAATCAATAAGTTTGGCAATGCCAATCCATAATTCCTTAACAGACATGTGGTAATACTGGTGAGACTGTTTTAAAATGAAAATACCGCTGACCCAAAATGTCTTCTTAATACACACATTTTGGTTGATTTTGACCCACAGCCAAAAAAGGTGCCAACCCCTGAAATAAAGTATAGAGCACAAAAGCCCCATGAATTATTTAATACGTCTTTAACACAGCACTTATCTAATGTGCTGCACCAAACGTAAGACTGACGAAAGCTTGGTATGGAGCTTGCCAGTCTAGGAGAAGTGTGGTCCAATTTTGCCTTTTTTAAACAAATGAAATACATAGAGAATGTTTTTCTTTATTACTAAATAGCATCTTAAATACTTTATTTTTTAGAAAAAATAACATTAATTTATATGAATAGGAACCAATTTAAGACCCTAAGTTTTCTCTGAGCCTGAGGTAACATCCCTAGCTCTCTCTTTCAGTGTCCTGACCAAAGGTTATCTTTAGTCTCTTCATTAGTTGAGCATACAAATGATTAATACGTGCCTAAATGTAAACATAAGTTAGTGGTGGCAAATGAACATGCTCCACGAGAAAAGTGTTTTGTATTTGTATAATACTAATCTTATTGAAAATAAGTAATTTTCTATAATAAAACTACTATCAGTATATTTTAAAAAAATAATTATATATCATTAGATACCTTCAAATGTTTTGTAGGCTGTCTTGGTCTGCAGACGCACAAGGGTCTACAGAACCTAGTTTGGAAATACTGGCCTAGGAAATATCTAAATAGACTAACATTTGTGATTTTATCTAAAAGAATTGTCTAAGATTAAGAAAATGAAAATTACTCATGCATTATTTTGTCATCTAGATCAGTGCTTTTAAAATTGTGTGTTCACAGACCAGTTTTTTTATTTTAATCCCCCATACACCAGTATTTTTTGTGAAACTTAATAAAAACTTACTAATTCAGTCTAAAAATTAAAAACAACAAAAGAATTTGAACTCAGTTCTTTATTTTATAACTATGGAGTTCAAATTCATTTCTTTTTTTTTAATTTTTAGTTCTAATTATTTTGAAAAAAATAGGTTTGTAGACCATTTTCAATTAATTTTCCAAACTGATTTTGACTGCCAATCCACTCCTGACACTAAGTATTTAAATAATAAAGAAAAAATGAAAAGTAATATATAAAATTATGAAATTTTAAGTAAAATTGTGTCATGACTTCATAATAAACAGTTTGTGAGCCAGCACTGGTCTACGGTCTACAGTTTGAGTACCACTGTTCTACATATTAATAAAGTAGTGAATTTAATAAATTATTTATAAAATGGATATTTACCTCACCAGATTTCCATTTTGGCAATATTAAATTTTGATGCATAAAAGATACAAAGCCATTCATTGCACTAATAAATGCCTTCCGAAATGATTTTTATTGTAGAAACCAAAATAGTTTGACTTCCTATTAACATTATAGACCTGTAAAGAAAAATTTTTCTAAATGTAGTAAATATTAAAAATATACACTAAAAAAATTATTTCTCAATTCAACAATAACAACAACTTCCAAATTATTTTCAAGTAATCATATTTTTAATGTGTAGAAAATTATTTCTCAATTTTTTAAACGCAGAAATAGGTACTGTTTTTTTCGCATTGTGTGAAAGTTGCAGATTCAAAATCAAAACATTATCCCGTTTGACAATTACAATGTACAGTACATTACTTAATATCCATTTTAAATATTTCATCATAGAATAGTAAGAATTTTCATTTTGCTGTTAGTTGCTATTCACTTAAATCAATAATATCTCTATATGATTTTTTTGGATATGGCACAGGAGCAAATAATGATTAATTACACGTTAAGAGTCTGCCTTGTAGGTGAATAATGATCAACAAGTACCAAATAATACTTCTATGTTTCACACAGCCAGTTTATCGTCCTATGTAGTGTGAAGTTTCAAGATCGCTAGTCATTGCTGGAGTTGATACTGTTCAGTTTGTACTCAAACTTGGTGCAGCATGGCACTGACATCAAATGTCATAGTTGAATGATGTTCAACTTTAAAACTGTATCACTAGAACATAAGCACGTATTTATAGTTTAATATCTAGTGAGGCAGAGGACAGCAGAACTCAATTTCATTATAATGCAGTTCTCTAACAATTACATTTTGCTTATTTTTCTTACTTTGTTGTAAAAGTATAGCACTCATGATGTATGATAATTTTTTCAAATAAAAATAAGCTTTTGAGTGTGTTTTTTAACACACTCAAAAGAACTGGATATATAAGAAATCACTAATAACCATAACACAAAAATTTTCCCCTGTAAGGAGTTAGATAGATGATAGCATGACTCTGTTGCTAACAGGAAGAGTATTATGTACAGGAGCAAGACACTACTAATTTGAGATTGAGAGCACATTTTTTAAAAAATTTATTTAATTTATAATATATGATTAAAAATTACAGCCTGGCATTGTGACAATGTCACAATAAATAATTGCTCATTAAAGTATACTTTTTTGGTAGATTTTTGGTTATTGGTGATTTATAACAAGTTTTGAAAAAAATTAATAAGTCTAAAAGTATGAGATAAAGTATCTGGTTAAATTATCCAACAAACACTCTGCATAATATGTAGAAGTTGCAGATTTGAGTGCTACTCAAATTTAATCTTTTCTTCTAAAAATCTTCTAAATTACTATTAATTAACAATAATTTCCTGTGTATAACCTGTGTAAAACACACACAAACTACAGGTTACACACAGGAAATAAAGGTAATTTGAAGACACAGTATAGGTTACATGTTCTGGAAATTTTTGCAAATAACACAATGGGTACAGGTTATACACAGGAAAGCACAACAACTTACTTTTGTATGTATAACCCACAGGTTATCTGTATTTTCTAAGACAATTTGTAAGGGAGTGCAAGCTACATCAATTTTTAAATTGCAATTATGAGCACCTATAGCAATGGCTTCTCCATAGATGCAGGGTATACGATGGGATGGGCTATGCAAAGATTTTATTTTCATTCTAGCAATTTTCTGTAATAAATTTAATTTCTAATTATTAATATTGTTTCAAAATGGCAGCTTAACTGCCTATCTTTANGATAGCATGACTCTGTTGCTAACAGGAAGAGTATTATGTACAGGAGCAAGACACTACTAATTTGAGATTGAGAGCACATTTTTTAAAAAATTTATTTAATTTATAATATATGATTAAAAATTACAGCCTGGCATTGTGACAATGTCACAATAAATAATTGCTCATTAAAGTATACTTTTTTGGTAGATTTTTGGTTATTGGTGATTTATAACAAGTTTTGAAAAAAATTAATAAGTCTAAAAGTATGAGATAAAGTATCTGGTTAAATTATCCAACAAACACTCTGCATAATATGTAGAAGTTGCAGATTTGAGTGCTACTCAAATTTAATCTTTTCTTCTAAAAATCTTCTAAATTACTATTAATTAACAATAATTTCCTGTGTATAACCTGTGTAAAACACACACAAACTACAGGTTACACACAGGAAATAAAGGTAATTTGAAGACACAGTATAGGTTACATGTTCTGGAAATTTTTGCAAATAACACAATGGGTACAGGTTATACACAGGAAAGCACAACAACTTACTTTTGTATGTATAACCCACAGGTTATCTGTATTTTCTAAGACAATTTGTAAGGGAGTGCAAGCTACATCAATTTTTAAATTGCAATTATGAGCACCTATAGCAATGGCTTCTCCATAGATGCAGGGTATACGATGGGATGGGCTATGCAAAGATTTTATTTTCATTCTAGCAATTTTCTGTAATAAATTTAATTTCTAATTATTAATATTGTTTCAAAATGGCAGCTTAACTGCCTATCTTTACATCAAATTCTTTAGTTTAATCGATTTTCTTACAGCCCAATAATAATTTGTTCAGTAGGTTTTAGTTATATTACATTATACAGTCTTGGAAAAAGTTTGAGACTAAGATCAAAAATTCATATTTTACAACATTCTAAAACACAATAAACATTGTAACCTAATTTGCATACATCCAGTTGTGTGTTTTCAATCTTCAGTAACTAGCAATGACAGTTGTATAACTTTCCTGGCTGTTATGAGCTTTTACTTAAAAAAAACTTTTTTATTATTAAGCAAAAAATAAAATTGTGTGTGATGTCATCTGTTATCAGATTTTGTTATAAAAACCGTTTATATTTTTAATTACTATAAAATGGCAAAAAGCTTAATTTTGAGGATAGGAGTGAGTTTTATAAAAAAAAAAAAGTATAAATGTTAATAATGAATAAAATCTTTATTAAGTCCACCCCTCTTGAGATACATGACCCCACCTGTATCTCTCTCTCAACCTTTTACCACTAAAATTTAATATCATCAATGTCCCTCATATACAAGCATGACAAATTTCATTTCTTAATCTTGGATGGTCAAATTTAACACAATTCCAATACTTTTCCTTGTTATGTATACATAACAGCTGGGAAAGTAAAAACGGAATCTGGTAAAACATTAACAGATGAAGAAAAAGACAAGCTACTGTAAGTGCATTGAGAGATAGTGGAAAATATGAATGGGTCACTGAAGGCCTACTAGGAAGATCAATGATGATAATTCACAATTGCTTAAAGACCTGACAATTATTGCAAAGCTGAGCATTGTGATAGGCCAAAAAACTTTCCGCCAGAGATGACAGGAAAATATTGAGAACAGCCACATCCTGTGATATGTCATCTAATTAGATTACAGCTTCACTAGAGCTACCTGTAACACCAAGAACAATGAGATATGTTATGCAAAAGGCTGTAAAAATCATGCATACATTAAGATGTAGGCACAGCCAAAATTGACAACTTCCCACATGAAAAGGCAGCTGGACTTTGCAATACATTATGTTGGACACTAAGATTTATGGAATCACACAGCTTTTGGTGATTATGGCCCTGATAGTGTGCAATTTTATTGGCATGACAAACATCACAACCTCATTTTTTTATCATGTCGCATACAAGGTGCAGGATCCATGATTAGTGTGGACAGTTTTCATTCATAAGTTAAAATCAGCTATTGCTTTCATTTCACTTCACTGAAACACAGCTGACTATCAAGATGTATTGATAAATTATCTTCTATCATTAAGATATGAAGCAATAGATAAAAATTTTATTTTTAAACAGATAACAATATGATTGTCTGCCAATAATATCAATGTTTTGTCATGGCCACTGTGTAGCCTGGATTTAAATGTAATAGAAAACCTTTGGAGTGATTTGTAAGAGTTGTTTATACCAATAGAAAAAAATTTAATAAAGTTTCTGATCTTAAAATAATTTTGACTGCTTGGGATGAAATTAGTCCTAAAAGGCTAACAACTCTTAGCAACTCCACGATCAGCTAATTAATTGATGTTATTCAGATTAATGGTAAAACAAACTAAGTATTAAATTGTTTTTCCCCTACTATGTTTTTTTTTTTTTTTTTTTTATCTTGGTCTCAAACTTTTTCCAGACAAATCACATGCAATAATTAAATTCCTAAAACAATTTCAAATATAATAAAATAAAATCATCAGAAAAGCTTGTTTTAATTCATTTTAATGTTTAAAAATATTGAGTTGATGCAAAAGTTTCTAGAGTTTCATAGCACAACATTTATTTCAAAAACAAACAAGTTTGTTCCAGGGCTGTAGAGTCGATAAAAAACACTAGATTCCCAACTCCTGATAATTTTAGTAGGCCGACTCCGACTTCGGCAAAATTAAATACAAAGTCATTTTATGGGGGACAGAGGCACTCATAGGGAGTACCCTACTCTCAAGTCTGAAAGGAGCCTGGGGTATTTATCCTAATACTTTTATAGTTAATGTAAGTTAAATGTTAAAAATACTAACTATAAAAGTATTTGGGTAAATGCCTGGGGCTCCTTTTAGAGTTCAGAGAAGGGTACCCCCTATGAGCATGTCTTCCCCCATAAAATGACTTGGTTTTTAATTTTGTCAGAGTCGGCCTACTAAAATTATCAGGAGTCGTAGTCAAGTGATTTTTTACTGACTCCACAGCCCTGGTATTGAGTATGGTATGGGTGAAATTGACTTGAGTACACAATAAACAAACAGTCATATGACTGAGAGAAAAATAAGACCTGGTTTGTACTTAGATTATAAAAATATTGGTATATTGAGGGTTAAGTACTACATTTACCACTTTAAACTCTGATCTTACCTTCTTTATAATAATTAAATAAAATCTAGAAATAGCTAAATTTGAGACGAATCAATCTAGATTTATATCACTTATCTAATTGCCTAAATCNAAATGAATTATAACAAAATACAAAAAGATTTTAAAAAATTAATAAATATATAATAAATTTTCTTTCATTTAAACAAAAAAATAAAGTAAATTTAAAATGTGGGAGTTGGAGTAGACACATTTTTTCCAAC